TTGGTTATTGATAAATTTAAACAACACATAAGTAGGGCCAAGAGCCCACAGTCCTCAAGGGCATTCCCTTAACCCTTCAAAATGTACATACAACCGTACATCCTACACCTCTCATAAACTAAACTATTTCAACCGCTGTCGAATTTGAATGATATGTCGTTCGTTTAGCGTGGTTTTTATTGGCTCTAAAAAACAAATTTGGACAACTTTCTGCTGAAAACGAGGGTTATCCCGTCTCCGGAATAGGTAATGACGATTTAACTAGGAAGAATGAATGAAGTTCAACAACGCACCGCGGGCATAATTTTATAAAAAGTCTAAGAGAAAGACATTCGAAAATGCAGGTAATTTTATTAGAGATCTAACGTTCTCCCAGCATTATCTCAAGCCATTGAGAACCATTCTACTTTAAATATCCTAATCACATTAGCGCGTCCGACAATTAGCGCGGTGCGGTTTGCCTCTGTTCTGGTGGGTGAGTCCAGTCTCAGGGCCTATGTTTCCTGTCAGAAGAGCGGGAAGGGTTTTACGCTATGCAGATTGCTTTCGGAGACTCCGATCAGTTACCGTTCCGCAACTAATTCAATTGGTTAATGATCTGGATAAGCGCGTTTACCGCTATTATAATAACAGAGGCCAAGCCCCCGACGGGGATGGAAACTGCACACCGACAGTTACTATAAGAAAAAGAAATGGGATTCCGGCCACCGAGACAACCCCCACAATAGAAGCCTCCCGATTTGGCGAATTGGCTGCCCAAGGTACGCACGCCTTACTGACCCTGTCTTTGCGTTCATCGTACACCATCATTTTTTGAAGTAATTTGTCCTCTATGCTATTTCTAAAGCTGATTTACACCGTTTTGTTCCTTTGCGTCCTTAGTATCGTCTCAAAGAGCGCAGGAAAATGTTAATGTTACACGTTTGCTGAACTGTTCTATGATAACCTTTTCTGTGAGAACACGTGTTCTCGTCAGAACACAATATTGTGTTGCGGGTTCGCGTCCAGTCAATTGAGATTGCGCATTGTCATCGCACTGAGTTAACTTTAATAGGCCTGTCTGATTGAAAAAAAAATCACTTTTCATAAAAGGACAAATGTCTTATAATCTTTAGCATTTAATGGATTCTGTACCTCACGAGTCCTCTGGCACAAAAGAAAGAGGTTTAAGTCGAATTACACTAGTGCTATCGTTACATTGTTAAAGGGTTTACCACTAGATGCCCGAGACTCATTTAGAGCAGTTACTACTTTTTCTTATGACCAGTACATAATAAAATTGTGCACCTGTTTTGTTTAACGAAGACTATAATGTCGACATGGAAAACTTAACCCGATTTCTCCTAATCTTGATTGATTATGTATAACTCATAACTGTCAAAAGCGTAAATAAGTACTTACAGTTTACTACAGTCGAAGATTAACTACTTGCCTTCAAAAAAGCGCTGTACAAGCCTACCCATTACGACCACTATACGCGTTTAATTATTTTGTCATCATTATGCTGTGTGCAATCTGATAATTATTAAAAGACGATCACAAAGTGTATAACTCACATAGCCTGTTTTTATTCATTACTTGAAAGCCCATATCTCTGTCGGTTTATTCCGAAGCGAACACCTATCGTATATTTTGATTTGCTCTTGCCCGGTCTCAGGTTCGTAATATCTAGCATGCACAATTTATAAGCGTTTATTCAGTAGTCGGAGTCTGGGTTGTGGATAAAAATATCCTTTTAAACTGATGATTTGGGAATCCCGTAGTCCGTACTAGTGACGGTGCTCAATGGCGATATACAGTCCACAAAGGACGTAAGTAGGCTCATTCAAAAAGTTTAAGAATTCCCAGGAAATAGAACAATAGCGATCTATTATTTATAAAGTAAGATTCTAAAATAAATGTTTAAGTTTTTTTCCATGCGGCTTGGCAATTTGAAAAAGTCATTTGGTTTGGATAAACAATACCCTTAAGTCTGAAAAGAAGATGCGATCGCTGGGATAAGACATTTATTCGCCTGACGTTTCGACATCCGTCGCGGATTCTTCAGAGACATGAACAGAGACCCTAAATTCTGTTCATTAATCTTAATTAGAAATACACAATACACCCTTTCTCACTTTTGCATTTGTCGCCCTCAAACTTGGCATTCTGAGCCTTACTGAATGTCCTAGTCTGATTCATAACATTGACAACCCCACATGGATTTTAAAAAAGCGTCCAACCTCAAAATATAAGGTTCAAGTAAGGTTTTTAATCTTACCTCCCTTCTGCGTAGGCCAACTTTTCAGCAACCACGAAGTTCAGAATCAATTACTTTACCCAGGAATGGTATACAGAAAAAGAATCCCGGCTGCTTGAAAACCAAACCTTATCTCTTTGCAGACTTTCACAGTCCTCCATATCTACTTAGATATCCTGCAAGGCAATTTAACCCTAGCTTTCATCCTCTTTTGTCTAAACAGCCCCTTATTCCTTATTCACTCTGGTATAAGTTTTGAATCAAACAGCGGCTTCCAAGGTCGAAGTGGTTTTACAGTCTTCCCAAATCAACCAGAAAGACTGCTAATCGTTGTCATTTGTCCCCACCTATGCGTCAAAGGTAGAGAATTGCGGTAGTAAAAAATTCAAAGTTTTCATCTAACCTTTATGTCGACTTTTAGAAATTAGGCCTCTACATGCGTCTCTGCCCGCCCGTGTCGAGGAATCTCTGTTCCCAGAAGAAGATATAGTGGAACCGGAGGCCCTGATACCACGGGAGAGTGAGGAGGAACCATCTTCACAGGGGATCAGGACAGCTGTGGATCATCGTCTTCGCCTATCTCGTACAGACCGAGCCCACGAACCAAACTGGTATTTAGGAAAGATTCATCGCCTCTGCGAGGCGGGCAACACTCAGGCTGCGCTTCATGTGAGTATACACATACCCAGTTCTTAATGCCCTTGGGAAAATCCTCATGCCCCCTACTCCTGCACCTCGTTCCCACGCTCGTTTACTCTTCGTCAACTTTATTTTTTACTGCTGTGTAGGTATTTTTCGTACGGATGTTAACAAAGGACCGTGTAATGCCCGACCGCAACCTCATTCACGTCCTTCTCTCTGGCCTGGCTAGCGTGGGCGACAGTGATTCTGCTTTCAAAGTTTATCGTAAGATGACAGAACTGGGCATCCCAGCTGCGCAGTCAACTTACTCTCGGCTTTTCAAGTAAGTTACACAGTCCTCGCAAAACCCCACCATACATTTGACCTCATCTCCTCTTCATCCGGACAATCCCAGTTTTATTAATAGTTGAAAATAATGTAGTTTGCCAAGGTTTACTTTACCTCTGTCTCAGGATAGCCAGCCACAGTCCTTTTGGTGCCAATATGTCAGCCTCTTAATTTGCTGTTTTATACTCTTTTTAAATCGAAAACTGCACAGTAGCAAATATTCTAGAACACCTTTGCGCGATAAAACACCGTACGTACCTCCTTCAACTCTGTCAAAAGACCTAACTCGATGGTAGACTGACCCTTCTCACTGTTCATGAATTCAAGCGGGTTTCCTTCATTTATATATCCGGCGCCTCATAGACTGTTAGTAGTGCTAATCCTGGTAGGAAAAGAAGGCGATAATACTGACTATCAAGGGACGTACTTGCAGATTGGAACTTCCTGACATCTGGGCGGGAGTA